CGATTTTAGTCAAGAAATATTTTTGTATAGCTTAATTAATATCTTGACCTTGAGAGGGAGTTATACAACATACAGAGTTTATTATTTACAATTTCATAACTTTAGACTCAATTTCAACCACGACAATGATCACTGAATATTGTAGGATCGCATATGCTTCCAATATGTTCATTTGAACCAAATTCACGACCCCAATTCCAAAACTTTGTATTACCTTTAATATAATACATTCTTGAATGTATTATACCAGGATGAATAGCTCAATTCTACAGGAGAGGAAGTAACTCAATTAGAAATATGAAAATCACTGGAGATGCTCTGTCATGCAAGTGTACTCCAATTTTCTAAAAGATTTGTTCATCTAATGCTGTGGTTTACTCACCACAAACTCTACCTGTTAGTCTGTTAGTCAGTTTGACAGTCAAGGTCAAAACAATTGTCTCTACATTCATGGTGTGAAAAAATCTTGAAAAAGTCAAAAAGCCATATGTTGAACATGAATGAACAAACCAGTATGAATCATCAGAACAGCATTGATGTCTTTGTTTTATAATTGGTTGCTCCTTGGTGGAAGATTCAAATGATACATGTATATTTCTAAAATTGCAGTTGTCATTTTCAATGTTTGATATTCTTTAATTCTCTGTACACAACTTGACCTTGGCCATGTGCCACAGAACCACCATTTTGGGAAAAATTGTGAATATTTTGAGAATTATGTTTAGTTTTCAACTTCTCACTGTGGACTTTCGGCCTCCTCTTATTTTGCAAATAATTTGAACATGTTTCAAGTTCTCCTTCCACTTTTTAAACTTTAAAGATGCTGTCCCTTTTGCAGCCAACATCAAATTCTGTAAACCTTTGCAGGAATTATGAATATGTCACGTATGTCTATCTGTGAAATTTAAACATTAGCAGTGTCCTAGTATTCAATTATGCAAGGAAACTGTTTACCTTCTAGACTTCACAGTCAGACGATAATTGAGTGACTGACTGACATTTTTTTTTCTTTAGTAATGACATACATAAAACAAGCTGTATGTTCAGGTTTATGAGCATTTGTCAACATCAATAACCGACTACTTGTAATGGCCAAAATTAAACTGATTGAAACTTTGTGCAGCACAAAACGTACGACCATTTGGTAAAAGGGTCTGAAAATCAGACTATTTGACAACTAATGGTCATTATTTTCCCACTAAAACTAAAAGCCATTTTCAAGCCCTTTTGTTTTTAGAGAACTTCTCAATCAGTATTGTCTTTCAAATGCTGCTGGAATTTAATATTTTCATTTTTTGGCCTGAACATGGGACATAGTGCCTTTAAAGCCCCTCTTCATTTTGCAAAATTCTTTTTTTGAAAAATGAAATTCTCACTGTGCTACTTCAGGACTCTTTTTTTGCACATATAGAAATGTATGGAATCTTCAGAATGCCAATAGAGGCTTCTTTCAGTTTTACAAACACTAAATGTGCTGCTTGAGGATATTTTTTTTTCTCTTTTCAAGTCTTACAAAGCTTGAATCTCAAGTAATTTAAATTACATACTAAAGTCAAAATTGAAATTTTGACATTGTCATGAAAGTACTTGTTAAATTGCTCAAGAATTTGTCTAAGATTTAAACCAAAACTAGATGGAACTTCGACTGCGCGCAGTCAAAAGTGATGCCTCCGTCATAGAGCAATTTTACAAACCAAAACGGAAGAAATATTTCAAATTCAAGTTCGGTTGTAATCCATTAACAGGTTCTCAGAATATCGTGATTACAAGCTATTTCTCATATACATGTATGACCCTTTGATCTTTGAACTCATGACCCCAAATGCAAAATACATGTCTTGAGTTTGATGGTAATCCATCCATCGGTTCTAATGCTAATGCAATCACAAGCTACTTTTGCATACAAAATGAGCCCCGTGACCTTTGACTTTGACCTCATGACCCCAAAATCTAATCAATTCATTGGCTCTGCAAGATACATACATGACCTAAGTTTGTCAGGAATCCATAAATCGGTTCTTGAGATAACGCGATCACAAGCTATTTTTACATACATAATGAGCCCTGTGACATTTGACCTTTGACCTCGTGACCCCAAAATCTGATCAATTCATTGGCTCTGCAAGTTACATACATGACCAAAGTTTGGTACGAATCCATCAGTCGGTTTTTGAGATAACGCGATCACAAGCTATTTTTGCATAAATAATGAGCCCTGTGACCTGTGACCTTTGACCTCGTCACCCCAATATCTAATCAGTTCATTGGCTCTGCAAGTTACATACATGACCAAAGTTTGGTACGAATCCATCAGTCGGTTTTTGAGATAACGCAAAAATGAGAAGGGGACGTATGTACGTACAGACGTACGTACTGACGGACGGACAACCCGAAAAAAATAATGCCTCCGGCTACTTCGTAACGGAGGCATAAAAATCTCTGAAAGTTTTGGGCATAATCAACACTTATGCCTAGGTCATATATAAACCGGGCCCTGTACGATTTTCCCTACCCGGCGGCTTGCCATGGATTTACGAAAACCTTCTGATTTGTTCATTTCTACGGCATGTGTGGTCACCAACGCTCAAAATACACGGGGGCGGAGGGCGATTCGCCCCCGTGAGCTCCATAATCGCCCCCCGTCAGGTTGCTCACGGGGGCGATTGCAAAATTAAAAAGCACCCCCATGAATTTATAAAATAAAAGATTATCTTTTCTGATATAACTTTAACACAATATTGAGTATGAATTTTCAAACCTTAAACCAATGAAATGGAACTTAGATGGCGCTATCTCTCCCATCTCTATGAGTATTACCGATACAAAAAAACGCAAGCTCGCACTATATTGTGCGGCCGTCAGTAGTGGCTATACTGCGCTGGTAGTACAGGTTTGCACGCTGACGCCCAATATCTGCTGGAGCTGGAGACGATCACGCAAAGACTGAAATATGCAGAAGTTTTTCATTGTGAAAAGTGTGAATCCTCTGAAATCTGGTAATTCTAAAAGACCAGCAAATTATGTAACTCGACCAGTAAATCAATATCAAGAAGAAGAACAAGACCAAAGATGTTGCAGGGGCGGATCTAGGCAGTTTATGGGGTTTAACCCTCCTACCCCCCCCCCACCCCCTCCCCCCTCCCTCTTGGGCTGCCAAGTGAAAATGTGATGTGCATAGAAAAATGCCATAAAATAGCACCAAAAAAATGCTCCGCTTGTTAGTAGATGTCAGGAAAACATCACTGTCTTACGGGGGTTCAAAATAGCAAAAACAAAAATCACCTCGCCGCTATGCGGCTCGTGGACGATAAATGATAATGATAAAAAACAAGGAATTTAGGAGTTTCATGGGTACCAATTCAATGGAAATTTGTTTTAAAATTTAAAAAATTAATTTGAGCCCTGGTGGTCACATATTCTGCAGCGCCCGGGAGGTGCCCGGTGAAAATTTGTCAAGTGAAATGCACTGAACTAAGTGTACTCTGACATCCACACCTCCTGTATTTAAAGCTGGGATGTACATTTTGGACCCGTAAGGTGCCCTACAGGCTTTTTACATGCTTTCTACGGCCTAACGGTCAGATAAAAACGCCGGGTGAATTGGGAGCAGCCAACTCAGCACCACGGCGCCATTACGGCTTAAAAAACTGTCCCGGCGCACGTAGGAACTTTACGGCAGCCAGTCAGACATCGGCCAAAAATTGCCAATATGTCTGTTTTTACTTGGTGTACGGGCCCCTGAGTGTATATGTGAAAAAGAATACAAAATCAAGTCAGACACAATCAAACTACAAACTAAAAATTATAATAAGTTCAAGAATAAATCATACTAATGTCAGTTCCAATAACCTTTTAATAATAATATTCATCATAATTACAGTGCTTATATAGCGCCTAACACTTACTTTGTCAGAAGTCTCTAAGCACTCTACAATATTAATGCAGCATAACTACCGTGGCTTTAGCAGTGCAGCTGTTACGCGAGCTGCGTTTCAAGGAATAAAGTACACTGTAATAACTTCAATAACGGGCATGCACAATACCATAACCCATACGAGAAGTTTGCATAATTTTGGACTGATAGCTTGAAGCTTCAGTTTGAGTTGCAAAGCTATAGTGTAGACGTCGACATCGAAGCCCTAAACAGAGGCTTCATGACGTCGGATGTGATCCAAATTCAATAGACTATATGATTATGATTAAAATGAGTAAAAAATTGGGCTAAAATTCCTTTGCTAAGAATGGATATTAAACTGCTAAAAAATGGATACGGAACTACACTAGCGCCAGAAAATCAGCAGCATATTTATGTAAAATAAGAACCTCATTATAAATATAATAATAACATGGGCTTCAATAATGATGGAAAGATGCGGTGCCCATTGATACATTTCAGTATTGTAAAGCATAACAATAAACAAGAATAGTTTGGTAGAATAGTTTTGTAGTAGTTCAGGCTCCAACCATAGACGCCTTCAAAACCAGGCTTGATTGTTGCTGGAAGGAACAGTGTCATATCTCTCAATACTCGAACTGATTTCTTCAATTTCTTTGCTCCTGGGACATGGTACATTGTCCAGTCAAGATGCAACCTCTTGCCCCTCTGGCTCTGCCTCCCTGACTTGTAATTGTACATAGATCTAGGGTCTAATGAGAATTATTATTAAAGAGTATGAGTACAAGAAGATAGACCAAGAAGATAGACCTAGAAGCTCGACTGCTGTCTCAGCATTCTTCCAGTATGTGCGGTAAAGGTAAAGGTAAAGGATAATGGTTGCCATGAAGTTATGAACAAAACAAAAAAACTTTCTACAACAAATTTATCAGCACGTGGGACTGAATTAAGTCAGCGATGGCTATTCAATCGATTTATAAATGCAACAACGGCTTAATCTAGAATTTTCTTTCGACAGTTCTGTACATGATCACTTTATCCATACGCAGAGAATGCTCTGATGAACATTAATATCAAATATATCATTTTAAACTCCAAATCTTACCTCTGATGACGAGTCCATTTTCATGTAATCTGTGCCAACGTGTAGTCTCGTGAATCACGATAAAGTTAGATGTCGCTATTTGCGAGATATCGAGAAAATTAGAACGAAAAAGAAAAGAGGTATCTTTGTTTCGTTGAGGGCGTTAACAAAAGTTAAGTTGAGCTTTCCACAGGTCTCGGGTATGATTCTAATAAATGACCTATAGATCTATAATGATTTAGGAAGATCAGTTTGTTCTGTAAACCTTCAGACGAATATATGAGGAGTGTTGAATAGGGTACTGCATTTTTCAAACGAAAAAGGCGTACATTCTTTGAAAATGTTCGAGTTGAATTAATAATTGACACTATTATTCCTGTGTTTTATTTTTATAGTTTTGTGTATGAAATATTGCTTGATATTTTGCTAGTCCTTCATTGTTAGTATATTAAAATAAAATTTCAACAATCCATAATGTTCTGAGCATAGGAGCATGAGTTCACCCCCCCCCCCCCCCTCCATCCTTGTCTACGTCTATGGAGGCGCGATAGCCCAGTCGATCGGTAGAGCAGTGGTCTCGTAATCCGGTGACCCGGGTTCGAAACCAAGTCGATGCGCTAGTGCCCTTTGATAAGGCATTACTCCTCATTACCAGCAGCCTTTTCACACACAGCTAAAATTCTATAAACATGACTAGTATAAACGTGTTTCGAACATGTTTAAACTAATCACGAGCCTTTCACACACAGAAATTTCGGTGCGATCGTTAATTGTTTCGTGATTAACTACTGCTCGTAAAATGCGCAGTAGTGCCATTGCGCATTGAAGGTCATGTCATGTCAATCAAAGCGCACGCTCAATCCAGTTTAAACACGTTTAAACAAGAATTTCCTTTCACACACAAAATGTCAAACTCTCTAGATACGAACTTCGTATCTGCAGCCTGCTTTTAGGGGCGTATGGATCGCGACTTCGTATCTATCCCAACATCGTATAAACGATGTTCACACTGGGAAATTTTGTCTATAAACATGTTTAAAATTTTACGATGATTCTAATCATCACTAGATACGATGAATTTTAGCTGTGTGTGAAAAGGCTGCAGGTCCCTCGGAGAGGACCTAAAGCCGTCGGCCGTCTGGTTGCTTACTTACAAGCATTTATGCTTTCTTAGCAGTCAGGTAAAATAACCACCACCATTCAAAATTCAATAATTATTATCCCTCTGCCTGTCCGTCTCTTGCTCATTATATCTCCGATTATTCTTCCACCCCTATCCGCTTCCCCCCCCCCCCTCTCTCTCTCTCTCTCTCTCTCTCTCTCTCTCTCTCTCTCTCTCTCTCTCTCTTCCTCTCTCTTCCTCTCTCTATTTCCTTTACCCTGTATATTTATCTTCCTATTTTACGCGCGGAAGTGCGTCAGTTTAAAGTCAGTCGACCGCGGAAGTGAAATCCGTGGGAGTTGAGTTTTGGCAGCGCAATACAAGGACAAAACAGTTTTGCCCTCATTCATTCAGAAACATGCGTCTATAAAAGGGGTCCTCTCACAATGTTTGTCTGCCATACCGCCATGTGTATTATCATTCTCATATAGTTGGATTTGATAACAAACTAATAATCAGAATCACATTAAATTTAAAATTAGCCTACCGTCGATACATTGAAAGTATAAAATGAAAACAATAGTAGATTAATATTTCTTGTTTATCTATTAATTTCACAGTTTGAAATTATATTTGGGTGGGTGTTAAATCACAATACACATGATCAAGTTGGTTGATGGTTGTGGTATTGGCTGTGAAGTTGATGATGATGATGATGATGATGATGATGATGACCACATAAATCTAACTGTTGTAATGATATACTGATGTCATGAGATGCTGCACAAAAAAAAGAAAGTCAAACATGATTAGGTTACCAGTTAAGAGATTCCAAATAATAATAGATAGTCTGCATTTGAGTCACAGTTCTACATTTAGAATGTCAACAAAATTGTCGATCTATTTTAAGGTTAAAAGTAAACATTTCCCAGTTTTATGACAGAAAAACTTCCTCTTCTTTTTGTCTATCAGTGTATACAAGGAAAGCATACAAAACGCTTACTCGTTGTTTTGATAAAACGATATTAATCTTTGTTTGGATATAAGTCATAGACCGCGATGAAGAGTTTATTGAAATGATGTCAACACACTTTCTTCTTATTCCTAACATAAAAAGCAACAATTTGTCAAATTAAGAGGCCTTCATGTGGGCCTATTAATCTAAGATGTTATGAGCTATATAATTATATACTCTCTTAAGTTTCTCGAAAATGTAGACCCAGCCATCATCATTCCGACTACAGTGTTGTTGTGGTTATTTGGACAATAGACAATTGTTCAGTATTCACTTTTTTATCTCAACAAAATTTGCTGTTGGCATGACACCTTTACCTGAGTGAGTCTTGCCTGAAGTAGCAAGCACTGATAGGAGAAAATGGGGGGTAAAATATATACAGTTTTTATTCTAGCGAATTAGAGATGCTATCGTGCAATACAAGTGTATGTTTGATACAATAGTATCTTAGGAAGAAAACCCCTTTGTTTTACTGAGTATACTCCCTTTTTTTCTTAAAAGATAGGTGGAAAGATGATGTGGATAGTTTTTTGTTTTTTTTAAGAATATACAGCATTAAACATTATTGTCAACCGATGTTGAGAATTTCATCATGCTTTAGTCCTGAAATATTTCAACACACTTCGTTAACTGTAAACTTCTTGTTTGTTTCTTAGATGAAAGTCATGGTAACACATATTGGACTCGTTTATCTTAACTATTCACAATGTGAGATAATTATGAATAACATAATACCGAAAAGCTCAAACAGATGAAAACCTCTAACATCTATGAGAAACATGAATGTGTTGGCCGATGCATGCATTTACGTCTTTACACGTCTTTAGTTGCCCACTTGGGACCAGACGGGAAGATGTTGACAAACCAAGAACTAAATTGCCTAAATTGATGCGTTGCTATGGTAACGTCAAACGTTGAGTCAGACGACCCTTTACCGATGTTTCACGGTGAATGCCGACTTTGACGTCTGAAACTTTGTGAGTCCTGTTTTGTTTCACTCGTTTGGCTGGGCTCGATAACGATGCACATTTTTTGCCGTGTAATGTTATTCGGCGGATTTTTTGACGGATGCTAACGATGTTTTGTAATAGCCTGCGTATGGAGGTGGAGAAATTCAATTCTATGCTGGTGATGCCTAGAGTCTGCCGAAAGAGTCAAGGCTGTGTGAGAGTTTTTCATGGCCAGAATATCTATAAAAGGAAATTCAAATTTAACGTCATCATTGTTTATACGGAAGCTATGTGTTCATATCATCGAAAGCATTATCAAACTTAAAACAAAAATACATTAGTTTAAGCCGAAATAGGTGGTTATTGTTTGCAATAGCAACCGTTTTCAGACGGGGCTATTGACGCCTTTTGACATTTCTAGTAGCCGTCAATAATTAACTCTTTGTCCCATTATTTTCGTGTTAAATGTTGTGGTCATTGTTGACATAATTGACAAAACTGACGAAATACTTTCGACACCCAGGTATTTCGTCGAATTTGTAGAAAAGTGTGGGTAGTTGTGGGTAGTTGTGGAAGCGTGCAAGACGCAAAGTAAGACGTAGAACACCATTGTACCCCGCCCCCGAAAAAAAGGTTGGGGAAAACAATCAGTTGTCATGGCTACTTCAAAGACACTTAATAACCTCGAGTGGGGTGTTCGGTGTGCTAAAATTATTCATGAGTCAATCAATTTGGATCAATGATTACTAAAATGGATAAAGTGGGATGAATACAGTATGGGAGGTATCGGGGCTCAGTCTAGGACAGGAGTGGTCTCGTAACCGGTAGGTCCCGGGTTCGAAACAAAGTCGATGCGCTAGTGCCCTTTGGTAAGGCATTGATCCGCATTACCAAGTTCATCGGAGAGGATTAAAAGCCGTCGGTCCCCTTGTGGCTTACTTACAAGCATGTACACTTCCTTTCTAAACAATCATGGTAAAACAAAACAAAACAAGATGAGGGAATTGTTTTTTCGGGGCACCGGTTTAAATTATGTAGGTGGTGCAGGAAAAGGGGTCATTGAGTGAACATAGTGTATGGAAGAGGTCCTGTCACTTCTGTTCACATTATCGTTTAGTGCCATTGTGCCCCCCCCCCCCCCTTTCCGTAGAGTAACCACTGTATTGACGTATCAGGAGTAGGAATAAGATGAGGAATGAGTAGGTCTTCAATGTGCGAATGTAGGGTTTTCCGAGTATATGAGAGAAAAATTGAAAACAAGATAAAGATTAAAAACCAGTAGCCACAGAGGGGGAATATAGAACAAAACCAAAGACAGAGCAACATCAGAGAAATATGACTCATATTGTTTGGAGGTTAAGCATATTTCGCATGAGTTTTACCGCAAAATTTCACAAATCTTGATTATCGTCAACTCCTCATTTCGTCATTGTGCTTGTTTTATCCAGAAAAACCAATCATGCCAAATATTTTGAAATTATTTTAGAGATCCACTGCCCCCGTGGTGTAGAATGTTGGGGGATAATCCCGGGTTCTGTTTGGACTTCCTTCCTGCTTCTTTCCTGTCACTTCACAGCTCCCCTTGACTTGACTGCATATTCCTTTGACGTATCAAGCTGATTAATTTTTTTCCCACGTGTGTTCTCTCTCTCTCTCTCTCTCTCTCTCTCTCTCTCTCTCTCTCTTTCTCTCTCCAGTCTCTCTCTCTCTCTCTCTCCCTCCCTCTCTCCCTCACACACACACACACACGTTCACAAACACAAACACATATTTATTATCTCCTTTTGTTTACCATCCTTCTCAATTTGTATCTTTTTCTGCTATCTTCAGCTTTCACTACCGTTCATATTTTTCTGTAATTCTCATCAATCCTGTATTTTATGTCCTTGCATTTTCTCAGCTGCATACGTTTCTGTCCTGTCATTTCTACCCTATATTGGTGTCTGTCCTGTCTAACAACCTCTCACGGTGATCTCAGCCATTTATTTCACTTTATCCTCGATAATATAATACTGCATTATGAACAAAATAATGTTACGTTGTTCAGAAGCATTTTCAATTCTTCTATATAA